CGCAAAAACACAGCCGAGGGCCATGGCGGGAGGCAAAGTGCATGCCAGAAGCTCCAGGTCCTGCCCCCAGCCGCGTAAGTCACTGCCCCGCCCCCCTTCGCCTCCCGCCGTGGCACTCGGCTCTGCACCGCTCAGCTGGTGCAAACCGCCATTTGGGCTCTGTCAGTGAGAGGCAGGAGGAGAAGAAGAAGAAGAAGAGAGAGAGTGAGGCAGGAGGAGGAGAAGAGAAAAGGAGAGTTGCATGCCAGAAGCTCCAGGTCCTGCCCCCAGCCGCGTAAGTCACTGCCCCGCCCCCCTTCGCCTCCCGCCGTGGCACTCGGCTCTGCACCGCTCAGCTGGTGCAAACCGCCATTTGGGCTCTGTCAGTGAGAGGCAGGAGGAGAAGAAGAAGAAGAAGAGAGAGAGTGAGGCAGGAGGAGGAGAAGAGAAAAGGAGAGTGAGGCAGAAGGAGGAGGAGAAGAGAAAGATAGAGAGAGGCAGGAGGAGGAGGAGGAGAGAGAGACAGACGTGGAGGAGAGACCTGAAAAGCGCTATTGGCTAGTTTTTTTAATAATGAACATTTAATATTGATATGTGAAACATGTGTAATGAAATAATGTGAATACGCAACGGGTGACATTGAAACTGATTTGCGCACGCACTACCACCTGTCGGTTGTGGCTGTGGCGCATGCCCCATGTCACTCACTCCATTTTTTACATATAAATAAAAATGTTATAAGTGTAAATTCGCCAACAACCCCAAATTATAAATGACTAGCAGAGCAAGAGACGCAGGTAGAAAATATTTGTTGGGAAGCCAAAAACTAAAGAAGAAAAGAAAACTTGAAGAATGTAATCTCAGTCTAAAAGGTACTACGGAAAAAAATTTGTTCAAAAGACAAAAAAATGAGATGAAGAACCACAACAGTCCCAATCATCGTCACTATCATCACATTCAGATCCAGTAGAAGTAGATTCTATGGAATTATTCACATTTACTCCAACTTCAATTGCGACAACAGAACAAAATCTGCCATTAACATCAACATTAATTTCGTCTTCAACGGCATCAGATCTGCCAGATGACCCATTAACTGTAATAACATCAAGATTATTAGACAAACTAAAGCAAAATCATCTGCCTTTTTTAGAAGAATCCGCAATAGCTGAAGTCAACATTAGTAGCAAAGATCTTGTTGAAATTGATTCCAAGTATTCAGAAGAGCTTTCATCAGAAGACGATAATGGTGAGTTAGAATGTGCCCCGAAAAGTAGCTTAACCGACCCTGCAAAATGGCCAACTATTCTAACTGATAAAGTCAGGTTGTTTATTGCTGAGCAAGGACCCGTACAAATAAAAAGTTTTAAATTTCCTAGAGATAAACAAAACAGATCTTTTTCAGCAAATCATTACTCCAGATTATTAAACAATGGAGAAATGATGGAAAGAAGGTGGTTAGTTTATTCTTTACTTCAAGAAACTGTGTACTGCTTTAGCTGCAAATTGTTTGCACCAATTCCAATTGCCCTTGTGACTGGCGGTTTCAGTGACTGGAAACATTTGGCTGAAAGATTAAAAGAGCATGAAAATTCACAGAATCATCGTGAAGGAATGATTAAATGGACAGATCTACAAAAACGTTTGAAGAATAAAGTAACTATCGATAAGATGATGCAAAACATGATAGAAAAAGAGAAACAAAGACTTATTGCAGTTTTCAAACGTATAATTGAAATAATTATATTTATGGTGAGTTGAAATTTATCATTCAGAGGAAAAACCAAAAAACTTTTTCAATCCCATAATGGAAATTTTTGGGGAATAATTGAATTATTAGCTAAATTCGACCCAGTGATGGCAGAACATGTATACCATTTTACAGAAAAGGACACTCGAAACCATTTTTTGAGTCACTTAATTAAAAATGAATTAATTATATCAATATCTGAAAAAGTTAAGAAACACATAATTGATGAAGTAAAGCAGGCAAAATATTATTCGATAATATTAGATTGTACTCCTGACATCAGTCACCAAGAACAATTATCGATGATAATCCGATTTGTGAATATAGAAAATCAAGATTTTAAAATAGATGAAAAGTTTATCAATTTTTTAGTTGTTGATGATACAACAGGAAGAGGGTTAGCAGAAAGGTTAAAAAATGAACTCCAAGATCTAAGATTAGATTTAAAGGACTGTTGAGGACAAACTTATGACAATGGGGCTAATATGAAGGGTAAAAATGTAGGAGTGCAGGCTTTAATTTTACAAGAAAATCGAAGAGCCTTCTATGTATCCTGTGCTTGTCACAATTTGAATTTAGTGTTGGGAGATATTGCAAAATCGTCCACGCAAGCGGTGACGTTTTTCAGGATAATACAAAGGATTTACACAATTTTTGCAGTGTCAACAGCAAGATGGGATGTATTTAAAAGACATGCTCCTCTACTTTCACCAAAACTACTTTCGGAAACTAGATGGGAGTGCCGAATTGAAAGCGTTAAATCTACTTTCACCAAAACCACTTTCGGAAACTAGATGGGAGTGCCGTATTGAAAGCGTTAAAGCAATTCGATTTCAAACAACTGGATTGGACAATGCTTTAAGTGTACTTTTAAATACGGTAATGGATCACAAACTTAAATGTGAAGTACTTGCTGTCAGAAAGCATCTAAGAACATATGAATTTTTAACCAGCCTTATTATTTGGTATGATGTATTACTTAAAGTAAATACTACCAGCAACATTCTGCAGAAGACAAATATAGAAATGGATATTACTTTAAATCGTTTAAAGTATCTTGTATCATATTTGGAGGAATACAGATCTTCAGGATTCCAAAGTGCATTAACTACAGCCAAAGAGATGTGTGATGAATTGAACATCAATCCAACATTTCAGGAAAAATGTCTAACAAATAAAACAAATAAGTTTTTATACGAGGGAAATGATGAACCTATTGAAAACGCAGAGGAATCATACCGAATAAACTACTTTTTGATAATTGTTGATTCTGCTCGTTTCTATGAAGAAACTATGAAATCACAAAGACATATTTGGTTTTCTACATTATATGAAAAGCATCAAAGAAATGGATAAGGGCACACTAAAAAAACATTGTATGGATCTTCATGTCAATCTACAAGATGGTGACTCCTGTGACATTGAAGGTTTAGATCTTTACGAAGAGTTGCAGAACTTTTATAGAATTATTCCAGACAGTTGTATTACAGTTCATGATTGTTTGAAAATAATTTTAATTTGTTCAAACAATATGGAAGACACATATCCTAATATTTATATCACTCTTAGGATACTTCTAACTAGTCCAGTGACAGTAGCTTCGGCAGAGAGAAGTTTCTCTAAATTGAAACTAATAAAGAATTACTTAAGATCTACTATGAGCCACGAGCGTTTTGTAGGTCTTTCGATTATATCGATTGAAAACGACCTGTATAAAGAAATGGACTTTAATGACATAATTGAAGAATGTGCTGCCAAAAGAGCTAGACAGCTATAATAGACTTAAATACAAATGAAAATGTTTAATTATTAATGCAGAATTTTGTTTAAGAATGACTTACAATTTAATTAAAATAAAAATTTTCCAACTAAATTAAGTTTCTATCGAATTTACCCAATGCATATTTAATATGAAAATAGCCGTCAATTTGCGCATTTGACGCCTTTTTTCTATTTTTTCTCCAAAGGGGGGCCACGCAAAATTGTGCTGCCCTGGGCCCCGCAAAACTCTCATCCGCCCCTGTGCAAACCCTCGGAGCAGCAGAGTCCCCCGGCCTGCGCTATGCTTCCAGCACGGAGCCCTGCACAGCCAGAGCAGGTAGAAGTAGAGCAGGCACCAGGCACTCACCGTGTGGGGCTAGGGTGATGTCCTGATAATCACTACCCAGGAGGTTCTGCACAGAGCATCGGATGAGCCGGCGCTCGTCCATGCTGCGGAGCCGCAGACTGCTGTTCACCTGGTAAACCTTCAGCGCCTCGTGGTACACGGTGCCGGTCTGCAGGTTGATCTCCTCCGAGCTGTTCCCCAGCAGCCTGGTAGGCTGCTCCATGCTGCCGCACCTGCCCGTTGGAATAAGCACCAGACATGGGAGACAATCCCAGGAGCCCGAAGCTGCGGGATGCTGTGTTCATAGCTGGTCTAGCTCAGCCCTTTGTGACCCTCCCTTTGCCCTGCAAACCCTTGAGAAGAACTGCTCATCCTCCATGGAACTTCCCTCCTCCACGCCCACCCCCCGGCTTCCCTGTCGCCGGGTCTCTCCTAGAACAGCCAGCGCAGACCCCTGGATTTGTCAGCATCTCTCTTGCACCATCACCAATGAGCCAAAATGCTGGCTGTTCCCTCTGGGTGGTGCTGTTGCCTGAGTCATGTCCTTCGCCTCCCGCCGTGGCACTCGGCTGACTTCTGCACCACTCAGCCAGGCCGCCGCGGGGGAGCAAGTGGCCAGCTGGGGTCCTCAGG